CCCCGGGTTAAATATATATAAATATGCCGACCCATCTAGNGTCACAGTTTTGCCTTAAAATTTCATGTTATAAACACTTGAAAACCCATCTAGAGTGTCCGATCGGGCCTGTGTCCGATGGAGCCTGTGTCCGATCGGGACTGTGTCCGATAGAATCTGTGTCCGATTGCAACCATATGTGTCCGATGTAAAATGTGTCCGATCGGGACTGTGTCCGATAGAATCTGTGTCCGATTGCAACTTACCACCTTCTGTCATACCGACGAATTGTAGCGACACAACATGAGTTGCGTGGTGGGGTGGGAGAGGGGAAGGGGGTGGGGCGGGGCGGGAGGGGGTGGGGCGCGCGCAGCGCGCCGTGCTAAACGCACTTGCAACTTAAATATTAAAAACCATCGTTAAACAGTTTTTGTTAATAACTTTTTAACGAACAACGAGCGACGGCTAAAACCTTCCGAGGGTCACTCAGGAGGGTGACCTTGACCTTGACCTTGACCTTGAAGGTCAAGGTCGTAGGAGCTGGGTCCCCTATTCTGCACTTTTACCGAAAGCGCAACTGTTATGCGTCTCAATCGGTTCAACGCATTATAATAACCTCTCAGCACTCTTGGGCCCGGACAAACCTATTAAGAACCTAACCTATAGTCAATTAAAGAAATCTCTCCAGGAAATGCTATTACCGCACAGAAGCGTAGTTGTCTCGCAGCATTATTTTCTCAGTACATATCAGAAGGAAGGCCAGACTATTCCTGAATTTGTAGCTACACTGCAAAGTGACCTAGCAGAATGCAAATTTAATGTTACCTGTGAATGTAATAAAGTAGTCTCTGCTGCCAATCTCTTTCTCAGGACACAGTTTATCAGAGGTCTTAAAGATAATTGGATTAAGGAACAACTTCTCCAGGCCAATATTACTGAATTCTCGGAATTTTTAACCAAAGCAATCGCATTAGAAGCTTCCAGACTCGAAACTCAGGCACTCTCTAAGCAACAACCTTCAACGGGAAAGGACACATCCGATATTCATAAAATCTCTTCCCAGAATAGATCCAGACGCGACCAACACCAATATCAAAAAAATTGTACTCGGACACGGCCAAAAACACCAAATTATCGCCATCGCTCATATTCCAGACCAAAATCAAAATCCAGGATTGATTATATTACTCTCGATATTGCAGGATTATGTCTCAGGTGTGGTAAGAATAACCATCACATAAGTGAATGTCAAACGGATAGGTATAAGCTCAAATGTAACTCATGCCAGAAAACAGGGCATATTGCAAAGGTATGTATCACAACATTATTGAACGAAAAAGGACTAAAAAAGCAAGCAAACGCAAATGCTAGTTCTAATAATGGGGAAGACACTACAAAGTATATACATGATTCGAATAAGAATATTACTCTCGGTATTAATAAAATTTTTGTTGATTCTTTAGATAGTAAACAAAATTGTGCAATTATTGATTTATATGACAGCTCAGCCGAACGAATTTCAACAATTGACGCACAAAAGTACTTCACAACTGTACTTCTAAATGGGAAACCAGCAGTATTCGAAGTCGATTCCGGAGCGGGATATACACTATTACCAGAAAACGAATTCCGGAAATTAAATCTCAACATATCCTTGACACCTACTAATATATGTTTTCGAACTTATACTAATGACATGTTTTTTTCTAAGGGTAAAGCAAACATCGAAGTTTCATATAAAAAACACCAATCATCAGAAGAAATATATGTTGTACCAGAAGGTCGTCCAGCCATCCTGGGCCGCATATGGATACGCCGCTTAGGAATAAAACTCGAAGATGTTGATACAGACATGCAAACTGGTTCGCGGACCTCTACTCCTGGATCAATTTACTCGATTAATGATCTTTTTACACAATATTCAAATGTTTTTGAACAAAAGATAGGTTGTATTCCAAATCACACAGTTCCTCTGAAATTACGCGAAAAAGCCACTCCAGTCTATACTAAAGAACGTAATGTACCTTTCGCTCTGCGCGAACGAGTTGAAAAAGAACTCGATAATCTAGAAAAAGCAGGAATTATTTCAAAAATAGATGCAAGTGATTGGGGTTCGCCTCTAGTAGTGATTCCAAAAAAGGATGGGGGCGTACGCCTATGCGTCGATTATAAAGTTGGGGTAAATGAACGTCTAGTGACGTCAAAACACCCATTTCGGAACATCCCGGACATCCTCAACAATCTACGACATTCTAAATACTTTTGTAAACTTGATATTTATAAGGCATACTTACATGTGCCGGTAGACTATACTAGCAGCCAAATTCAAGCAATTACTACACATCGTGGTACGTATCGTGTGAACAGATTGAGTTTCGGAATAAAAGTAGCACCAGCTGAATTCAATCGCATATTGGAGCAAATTCTTCAAGATTTGAAAAAGACGGAATCTTATTTCGACGATGTAATCGTGCATGGCGCCACACAGGAAGAATGCCTACAAAATCTTCACGCATGTTTAGCCCGGCTTCAAGTTTATGACCTCCACATAAATCGAGGAAAGTGTATTTTCTTCGCAGAAAAAATCGAATACCTTGGTCATGTAGTCCAACACAACCAGATCTCAAAGTCTCCAGCAAAAGTTCAAGCAATACTTGAAATGCCGCGACCCAAAAATGTGGAAGAAGTTCGTCGGTTCCTAGGATTACTTACATACTATGCACGGTTTATTCCAGACCTTTCCACGAAAACGACACCACTCCGAACTCTACTTAAGAAGAACTATAATTTTAAATGGTCAGCTACATGTGAAGCTGCGTTCACGCATCTCAAAAATTAAATGGCCAGTGATCGAATACTAGTACCATATGATCCAGATCTTCCAATAATATTATCCTGCGATGCAAGCCCCACAGGAGTTGCCGCAATAATGAGCCACATTATTGACGAACAAGAAAGGCTAATCGCTTACGCGTCCAGATCTCTGACGGTAGCCGAATGTAATTATAGCCAGTTGGACAGAGAAGCTCTTGCCATAGTCTTCGGTATCAATCATTTTTTTAATTACCTTTTCGGTCGACACTTTACACTCGTTACGGATAACGAACCACTGACTCGAATTTTTCATCATAAAAAGCATTTACCAGCTATAACATCCAGCCGATTACTCAGATACGCAGCATTTTTATCAGGATTTGACTATACCGTCAAGTTTAAACGTGGAGAAGCAAACGTAAATGTTGACTGTCTATCCAGAGCATCAATCCGGAAAAATGCTAGCTCAAAACATTATTAGCAGAAGAGGTACATCAAATTTGTACTGAATCAATTTCCAGTATAACAACCGATCGTCTCACAGCTGATATGGTTATCACGGAAACGGACAAAGATGCTGAACTAGGATCTATCAAACAGGATATTCTTACTCAGGATATTGATTCACCATACACTCTGAACCATGGCATTTTATTTAGAAATGAACGCGTAGTCATTCCCAAAAATCTCCAGGAACAGGTACTTCTAGAACTACATGCAACCCACATCGGGATTACCAAAATGAAGCAACTCGCCCGACGTTATGTCTATTGGAAGGGAATCGATAAGGCTATCGAAGACATCGTTAAATCATGCAAGTCCTGTGCTCTACTGCGTTCAAATCCGCCAAAAGCTCCACTGCATCCCTGGGATGAACCTAAGAATAATTGGGAACGCATCCAGATCGATTATGCCACTTTAGATGGATACAATTTCTTGGTATGAATTGACGCAAAATCGAAATGGCTTGAAATCAAGGCATTAGCCTCAACACCTACATCTAACAGTACTATCCAACTGCTGGATAATATCTTTTCCAGTCACGGATATCCACAAATTCTTGTCTCAGATAATGCTACAATATTTACAAGCACAGAATTTAAGTCTTATTGTGAAATAAACGGAATTTTTCAAAAGTTTATTGCGCCACGACATGCCGCTACCAACGGTCTTGCCGAAAGAACAGTCCAGACCCTGAAATTACGTCTGAAAGCCCTCGCGGATAATAATTGTTCGCTGCATACCAAACTACAGGAGATACTTCTGCGCTATCGAGCAACTCCATTAGCTTGTGGACAATCACCTGCAGAGCTCTACTTAAATCGCAAACTGCGCATCAAATTGGATACTTTACGTCCTTATAAGCCTTCCAGTAACGCGTCTACACCACCATGCACCCGAACATTTAAAGTGGGGGAGAGGATTCAATCACGCGAATTACGGAACAACAAGTTCACATGGATTTTTGGC